CTCATGTCTCAATCTTAGGGGGACCGAGGTAGTATATACTAATATACTATCCAGTTATGTTTATTTACTTCTGTTCTGAGTGAAGATTCTTGAAATACATGAAGGAAAAAATCATAAAAATAATCCCAACTATTAGCGTAATTACAATATTAATCCCAAATATTGATAATTCTAAATTAATCTAATTTATAAGGGCCGTCTTCTCTAAACAACCCAGCGACCTGAAGAAACCTATTCAGCAGGTCAAACAAACTCGGGGCATATTTTAATTGGTTTTCCTTTTTCCCCTTTTTCTTTTCTTTGGTTATTTCTTTTTGGTAAAACTGTCAAATAAGTCCTCGTACTATTTCAAAAAGTCAATTGAGTCCTCGTACTTTATCATCAATTAATCAAGTCCTCATAGTATTAAAAAACAATCAATTTTAGCTTTTAGCCGGTTGGTTGTGAGTCTATCCGGTGACAACTGACGTGGAAATCTACATTCATTAATTTTTTCCTCTTTTCTTTTTATTTATTTCCTTCTTTCTCTCTTTCACCTCTCCTTTCTTGGTTCCTTCTCTTCCTGCAACTTTTTTCTTTAATTATGTTTATTTCTTTCTTTCCTCCTGCTATCTCTCCGTTTACTTTCTTCAATCTTTGTTCTCGTTGTCGGCCTTTCTTCAACAAGTTCGTTGATAGGGACCTACCTATTAGACTAATAATAGAAGTAATAAGAATAATATTAGTAATAAGGGTCTCTATTATAAATAGACGGGAAGGGGGAGTAGTAAGTAGGCTTTTGGGACTTGGGTCTGGACTGGGAAGATTAGAGAGCTATTCTCTTCTCTTTGGGAGGTTTCGGCCTTGGTTACTGTATTGTTCATCTTCTCTAATAAAATTCAGTTTGATTTCTTGATTTCTTTCTGTAAACTGTTCTGGAATTGGGAGGTCTCTAACATTGATATTCTTGTTACCTGTAGTCCTGTACTGGAACGATGGAAGATTGGGGACTGTTTTGGGAAAAGAGGCGCGAAGAAAACAGGAGGTTTTGCGAAAAGATGAGCGAAGATACAGGCGTTTTTGCGAAGAGATACGCAAATTAAGCTGCCAAAGAAACAATCGGCACTCGCGAGGAAAGTCGAGGACCAAGTCACAGAAGGAATCGCCGAAAGAAACTGAGCCATGAAAGTCGCAGGAGTCGTGGAAGGAGCCGCGAACTGTTTCGCACTCGCGAAAGGATTGGCGCGGAAAATTGGGGAAGTTCGCAGAAAAGAATGAGCGTGAAAAAGAGGAGAAGGAGAAGAAGCCATCAAACCTGGAAAAGGAGAAACGTACGACGAAGAACAAGGAAAAGGTGGAAAGTGCTGGGGCGAAGAATATGAACAGAGTTGCGCACCAAGATGCGGCCCCAACGTCGCAGGAGAGGAAGATCGCGGAAGGTACGTTGCTGCGTGAATTCGAAGAGCAAAGGTCCATCTCAGTCGGAAGATACTTCTTTCGGTCCTCTGGCTTCGACTCAAGTAGAAAACCCTAGTTCGCAATCTCTATCTTAGTCCCCAGAGTCGGTTAATATCAGCAGCAACCGTCCACGGAAGGTACACACACCTATGGCGAAGAGGATGGCAAGGAGAAATCTTTAGTTAATCTTGAACCTCAAGCTGAAACAGTTGATGAATTTCCCAGACGTAAGATGTTTTCCAAGTACGATCTTGACCAGTCAGATCTTGAAACCAATAGGTTCAAACTTCTTCAGGTAGGCAATATTTCTTTTCATCTTGCACACAAGAACTGGCCAAATGACTGCAAGACTGAAATGATGTATTGCCAGTCATCAAACATTGTGTTGGAAGGATTGAACAAGTATGATAATCTTACATTTGAAGGTGTTACTTCGATGAAAATGAATCAAAAAAGATTGGGGCATTATGTGTCTATGTTGAAATATGATGGAGGAAGAAGACATGTACAATTGCCAGATTATGTTTTTCCTAATCCTGCAACCGGAAATTCATGCTTGGAACGAAAGAGGTCTGGTCCAGGGGTTCTTGAGTATCGGGTTCATCCTTTTTCTTGGGAATCATATGCCATTATTCAAGTTGGGGTAATGATTTCACACGGAGGTCCTCTAAATTGGATGGAGGGTGTGAGCAGAGGAAGGCTTGCTATTGCTGATAAAGGGGCTGAAACTGCTGAGAAGCACTCTTTCACTATGTTTCAAGCAATTTTGAAACCCAAAATTGAAGGACTATCTACCCATTACAATTCAAGGGAACATCAATAATATTACCCAGTTGTTTCCTTTGTTCTTGTGAATCTGAATGGAAAGGAACCAAGTATTCTTGACTCCCCTACCAACTTGTGGGTAGGCTTTTTAACCGGAGACCTCAGAATTACAAATTCTTTAAATGAGAAAACAGTGGAATATTTTGTGGAACAACATATTGAAGCAAATGCAAAGGTGAAATTAGAACAGGGTTGGAAAATGGCCATGTCATTTACTGGTGATGGATCTGTCTACCTGCCAGAAAACCATCTCTGGAAGTTTTACATAGGTGATAGGCTTTCTTGCTTAGCATCCAGTACAGTATTAGTTTCAGAACATAGAAATCATGAGGAGCTGCAGAAAAGTGAAGAAATCATTTTTGATATGGAGTGGGGGAAGGTGACTGAACCAAATGAAGATTTACTTTCTGCTGCTGCAAGTTCTGTGAATTCAAAAGATCTTGTACTGAAGTCCCTAGTCCATCGACCAGTTAGATATTGGGAAGGAAGAGGTGCAAGAAAGAAGAAGAAGCAGAAGATCTTGGCTGTCTCCTACCGCCCACCTTGAGGGCAAGGTGGATGTTTAGGGAGGGAGTATTGATAGGGACCTACCTATTAGAATAAAAATAGAAGTAATAATAATAATATTAGTAATAAGGGTCTCCATTATAAATAGACGGGAAGGGGGGGTAGTAAGTAGGCTTTGGGGACTTGGGTCTGGACTGGGAAGATTAGAGAGCTATTCTCTTCTCTTTGGGAGGCTTCGGCCTTGGTTACTGTATTGTTCATCTTCTCTAATAAAATTCAGTTTGATTTCTTGATTTCTTTCTGTAAACTGTTCTGGAATTGGGAGGTCTCTAACATTCGTCGCCCTTCTTCACAAACTCTAGAAATCTTGGATTCACTAAAAGGTTTAACAACATCAAGTCAAGAAAATGGATCAGACTAACGCAATCTCTCAATTTCGCAAAGAGAAGAGCTTCATCCAGTGCTCCTACATCTTCACTACCACACAAAAAGCTCTCATGTCTAATTTCCACCACCTCCTTCCCCATTATCACTGCCTCTGTGTACCAATTTCACCCCATCTCAGCCTAAAATCCACATTTTCTCAAAAGATCTGTAACCAAATGGATCCCCCAAATTGAAATTGCAATTCGATTCATACTGGTATCACGACTTCATACGAATTGAGAGACAATCACCAATTTGATCAATTAATTTGTATCGAGAAAAGCTTGAGAACAAGACGGAGAAAGATCAAACAAAAGTCGGAACTGAGCGAAGCCTTTGAGTCGGCAAAGACCACCGAGGACATGCTCATAGCTCTCAAGGATATGGAAACCTACTTCGATGAAAATGGGACTCAAACCCGACGAGGAAGTTAAGCATCCCAAAAAGACTTGTCTTCTCAACCCTCATGCGTTGGTTCTACGGTCTCCAGAGGAATGTACTCTGCTCTGCCCGTGCTTTTTTTTCTTCTGGAAAGAACCGAAGGTTATGAGCACTTTAGCATAGGCCATTGTGATGAGGATATTTTTTAACCCATGTGGAAACAAAAACTCTTAATAACCTCCACGCAAGCATCCATGTCAGCAAATAAATGGATTACCCCCGGTCGGTTACCTCTCAAAAAGAGGAATTGATTGTTTTTTAATACTTTGGGGACTTGATTGATCGATGATAAAGTACGAGGACTCAATTGACTTTTTCAGAATAGTACGAGGACTTATTTGCTAGCTTTCCCTTTCTTTTTTCTTCCTTTTTTGTTCTTTTTCAACTATACTACTGGTTTCTCGCCAAGGCGCCTGCCCATCCAAGCTCATCTTCAGAAAGCATGACACCAGCCCCATCCCTATTCATCTTCAGAAGCAAGACATCATCGTCACCGTCGTCGGGGGAGATGAATAGGGGAGATTCGATGAAGATCGAAGAAGATATTGACCAGCGAAGAAGATTCCCCGGCCATTCGAACATCCATTTTTCTTCTTTTTTCCTTTTACCTTTGCTTATTTTGTTTATTCTGTTCATTATTATTATTCTTCCTCATGAGCTTATATTGTCGTTGCGTGTTGTGTTTTTCTTTTCTTTTCACTTTTTACTTTATTTTGAACTGTTCTTTCATCATTTTCTTTTCTCCTTCGTTTCATCATTTTCTTTTCTCCTTCCTTCAAATCTCATGATCGGCCCCTTATCTGGAGTTGAATCTCATTGCATTTTTTTCAAATCGAACAAAAAAGAAGTTTACTGAGGGAAGTAGCAAGCCACTCACGAAGCATGGAACTTAACTACTGAAGGGGACTGAAATGCAGAGAAAAGAAAGAAGCAGATGAACAATCCTAGGTTTTCTTTCTTACAGAGAAAGTCTTTGGTGTTACTTTTCAAATCTCGAATTAGATTACCCAAAAATTGCTTCTGTAGATGACTTTGAAACACTGAAATCAAAATTTAAGTTTGATTGGAGGATGTCAGGGAAGGGTTTCAAGATTTCCATAAACCAGATTCCAGATGCAATTGATGGGTAAGTAAATGGAAAAATGGTTTTTCCCTTTTCTGTACATTTTTTACCTGTTTAGCAGGTAACCTAGGATTTATATGAGAAGAGCCCATGTATATTTCGTATTATTTTAGAATTACGCATAAACTGGGATTAATATGAGAAGACTGTCCATAGTTGAGATTATTCGTGTGAATTTTTCCATACATAGATCAGATCTAGCAAAGACAAAAATGGAGATTTATAAGGGATCAGGACATACCGCATCAGACATATCACAATGGAGCTTGGTAACAGAATCTCCACGCCCCAGCTCCTGATTAACTCCATAAGCTATGTATGTCTTGGGTCCCATATCTGGCTTTAAGGATTCTGGCGGCAACTTGACAGCAAGATTAAGAAACCCAGATCTAGGATCTGTATATGGTTTGAAAGGCAGACAACGTTCGAACTCGGCGCCATGACGAGGTAATCGTTGCTCAAACAAATCAGAAGGAGGCCAGTCTTTCAACTTCATAATTTTAGGCCACCCATTTATAAAAGGAGGGTCCATATACTCTTTGAAAAATTGGTGGAGATTAACATCAACCTTGATATCATCCAGAAATTAGTCAATCACAAAACATTCAACGTATAAGTTGCAAAAACAATCATATAATTACTACTGTTATAAGAATAATACTACGTAATAAAAACTGATATTATCTATATTGAAGTCATGAATCAAAACATCACAATTATATAAAGTTTGCTTTAAGAGCATTTTAAATTACATTCTTTAGAATCTTAAGCATGTTCAACAAAAAATAACTGATATGTTCAAAATAAGATTATGAACCTTTAGTCCTTTACTAATAAGTATGTTTTAGAATAAAATATATATTGATTGCAAAAAAAAAAAAGGATTATGTGAAACACGGTGCTGAAGAAAACTGGCAGGGAGAATTAGAAGGCTCAGTAGGATTAAAAAGAACGGCTAAGAATGTAGTACTCCTTGATCCAACATGCAAATCTAACAGAAGTCCTAAAGGATGAGTGTACTGTTCAGAAGTTTGAAGATAAATGGGTTGATAAATGGGTTGCTAGAAGCATCATAGATAAATGGGTTGCTTAAGGGGAGCAAACTTGTGCTGACCTCACACCAATCCATGCAGTTAATAGCAGCGACATCTAACAAAAGTTCATGGTTGAGATTTTTTATCTGGCGGCATGCACGCCACATAACCATCGGCTCCCAGCTTAGTCCTGAAGTATTTTCCAACACATTACTGACAATCACAGGCTCTCCTCTGAGCCAATGCCAGCGGAAGTGCTTCAGATCCTCATCCTGAATGTCCTTGGCTACTGGACAGTACAAAAAATTGTCACCAGAACCCTCCCTAGAAGCTGCTCTCCTTACGTTGCTATCACCGATGTCTTTTTCATCAATAGTTTTCAAACAAGAACACCAACGCTGAGAACTTTCTGGCTTTTCATCTAAACTAAATCTATGTACAATTTCTTCTGCCTCTGCTAGCAATTCAGAAACGTGAGTCTCTCCTAACAAGTGCTTTAGTTCTAAGGTTCCGATGTTACACCCACCCATATCCTCTGGTGGACAAGGAATTCTACCACTTTCTTCAGATTTCCATTCACTCTTGGACAGATAGTGCATGTTATCATTCTTACTGGAATCTGGACTAAATGAGGACAGAGGGAAACTAATGGAGTTAGTTTTATCAAATATCTGGGACTTTCTGCGGGCAATAGTTTTACTGGAATCGCCAGGCATGTCCCCATTCATGTAATCAGCACCTCTGTCAATATAATGAGTAACAACTTCTTCTTTATTCCCCTGCAAGTTTCCATTCCTAAGCTCTTGGGAACAGGTGAGGCAAAGATCATAGGAACAATTTGAGCAGCTCCGGTGAAAATCAAAAATTGATGTTTTACACATGTCACTGCAGACACCATGTGACAATATAAATGCTTGAACGCAGACATAAAGCATACTTGTAGGAGTAAGCTAAAGAAACCATAAAAAGTTGAACATACCAGTACATCCTTTCATTAATCTCGCAGTTTACCTTTTGCAGCTTTACGTCAGAAAATGCAACTCCTTCAAACATTAAGAGGAAAACATGGTATATATAATCTACGATTAGACATCAAAGATTCAGAAGAAGACATTTTCATTGTAATTATGTCAATTTAGTAATCCTTTATTAAGGGATAATTAACCTCTGGTATATGGGTGAGAATCCCTAACTAGGCATGCTTACACCCGCCTAAAGATCCCATTTATTTCATCTATAGTTTCATAACCATCAAGACATCATGTAGATAAGAAAGCGAAACTTCACCAAACAAAAGAGCTACCTTGAATCAATGCTTCAGTCTCCTTCTCCCTTTTTTGCTGTGCATTGGATTGTCTCAAGAAAGGTAAAAGCACCTGCAAGATATACTTAGAGTACTGGACCTGCTCGTCTTCGCTGTATTCAACTTTTATACCTTTCAACTCCTATATTGGGAATGCAATCCAGATAGTAGCAAAAGAAGTTGGCACACATAATTAGCAGACAGCCATGCACAACTTATAACTAAGAAGCAATATAAAATAAAACAAGAGCAACCAACCCTTATAGGTCCTTCCAACCGCAAACATGATTTGCAATTGCAGTTTTTTAGACAAACTGGGCACTTCTCTGCAAAAGCTTCCTGCGTCATACCAGGATACCTTTTCACAGAATGAGACAAATGAATGAACGCAGATTTCAGACAAAAAACACCTAGTATGATATGGCCATAACATTTGGGAGCAATATGTCAGGATTAAAGGAAATATAATAGGCCCAAATGTCCAATCAAACCCAAAAGATATGTTATCATATTATTACAACTAAGAATCCTTGGGCAGAAACTAAGGTGATCTTTGGCCAAAGCCAAATAAAATGGAGGGTGGGACTGTCCAAGTTCAATACAGGCATTTGATCTAGCAGCTCTGAGAAGATAATTGACCATATAATGGTTGCAGAAAAGTTTTATCTAAAAAGACTATGTGTGCATGGAAACGCTTTAATTAAAAAAAATCCCTAAAAAGGAGTAAAAACAAAGTGAAATTACAAAATAGGAGCGCTGTGTTTCTATTCTCAAAATAGAAGTAATTATTGCCAAGCTTGCAAAACACCGGCACTACAATTGCCATATTAATGTCTCATAATGCCAAAATATGCCAGTAAAGTTTCAAGATGGCAGTAATTACTCCTATTTAGAGAGAAAAGATATAGTACTCCTATTTTGAAATTTCATATTGTTTTTACCATGTTTCAGTCGGGAAATTTCCCCTGTTATTATTTATAAAAGTACTTTATTACACAAACTGTTAGACTTTTGAGGGTAGAATTAACATGATATCACTTTAAGGAATGTAAAATGAATTTTACTTGAAACTAAACATGTATGTAAAATGAGTATTATTTGAAAATAAATAAGTATTTATTTATTTATTTGAAAATAGTTACATACTCCTTATTTGTTTTTTATTTATTCGTAAAATATATAGCCAATAGTAGCCTTAATAGCACTATTTGTTTCACTCTAAGGCCTACTTGTATGTTGATCATAACACGCCCTCAGTTATAGCCATTAGCCAATAGTACCCAGAATAAAGAACTGATTTGCAAGAAATTATTATGCCTCTAATTAAAACTGAAGCGAATGGTTACATAGTATCTAATTGAACTTAAACCGTCTTAGATAGAGCCTTACAACTAAACTTTCTTACCATGTGGCCATGCAAGGCATACAATATCTCTTTGTCTGGCAGCTTGAACAACGAACAACCATTCCTTTGTCATTTCTCTGGCATTGGTGACACATATTTGACTGCAACTCATTTCCCTGTCACATGCAAATATAACGAAGTCTGCCAAAATTAACAATGTATTCAACTACATGAAAAAACATTCTAGTTCTAGCTAGAAAAAAGAATAGATAATTTACATCTTCATCCTTTCTGATCCTTGGCTTAGATATACTGCCGACATTATTAGATGTCCTGTGTGGAAGGTCGTGTGGGCTATCTGCACTTCCTTTAACTTTCTCATCTTTGTCTTCTTTTTCAAGGTCTTCAGTTAAAGCCCTTTTTTCCCCTCTCCTAGTTTTCTTACTTTTAATTGGGCCTTCATTATCTTCCAAGTTAGTCTGAGCTATACCACTTCTCCCCTTCCTTCGTCGTTTACATGCTTCGTCCAGCTCCAAGAATTGAACATCGATGTTTTTAATCCTCACTCGTGCATCGAGACTTGATTTCCTCCTTGGACGACCATTTCCCCCACCTATTTCAGCACTTGGAAGGTTTTCTTCATAGCTCACCCTATTTTTGCCTGCAGTTCCAGTATCAATCAATTCCTTTTCACACTCCAGCACTGGAGGGGCACAATAATTCTCCATGTGATCCCATTCCTCTTTGGCTCGATCATTGGGCAGCTTGGGCTCAATTCCCTTCCTTTCATCATGTCTGTCAGCAATTTCCTGTACAACATCCATTGCCTCTTCTTCTCTTCCCTCATTTTCTTCTCTATTTACGGTTGTCCTGCTTTTTTTGCCCCTTTTAAAGGCCTTTCTCTTCTTAGCCCCGCCTTCTTTCTCTTCAGTAAAATCCTTTGCAATAAAAGACGCATCTTTTTTTGCTATGTCATTGTCCTTTGCAGGTGTTCCAATTAAAGGTGTCAGCTGCTCCGGAGTAGTGTCTTTACCACTTTCCTGTTTATCCATGTTACCCTCAGAATCCTCCTTCACTGGATTCACTTCCATATCCTCCATCACCTTTCTTTCCTCCTCATCACATGAATCCGTAGAATCGGTCTGCTTGTTCTTAATACTGTCGTTGTCCCCAGATTGTGAAGTAACCATCTCTTCTGCATCCGTGTGAGAAATTTCTTCTCCGTCTACAGGTCGAGTCTTCTTCAGCAGACGACGTAAATCGTCTTGCTTCAGAGGCGTGTCCCCTAAACGGCACCGTTCGAGCTCGATTTTACAGCCGCTCGTTTCGGATTCCTCCCTAACTCCACCTATGTCATCCATATATTCAATAAATTTTGGGGGAAGGAGACATTTAAGTGCTGCGGAATTTTGCCGCGGAAACAATGCAATACCGACAAGGGAGACACAGAGTTGCTTAAATAACCCTAAGTTAGAAGTTAATGAAGGCGGGCTGTACTCTCTCCCTAATCCCGACTCCCGAATCCTGTCAACTTTTTGGCAAAAAAAAACGAGGTCAATTTACCTTAATAGGATTAAAAGTGATAAAATTGTACAAATAGAGATACATTTTTCAAATTTCTAGACTATTTATGTGTGTTTGAAAAAAAGTATAACCTTCTAGCTTTTGAAATGTTTTAATTACTAGTATCTTTACCCGTGCCGTGCACGGGATAAAATACTTTTTTTTTGTTTTAATAATGGAAAATCACTTATTTAACCAATTATAACATTAGTTTGTAATGCATATTTTAATTTATGGAGTATGTCTTAAATTATATGTGAACTAAACATCCAAACATGTTTCGAATCTATATTTTCCCATGAAAAGAGCAATTTTTTTATAACTCTTAGATCCATTCATATGAAACTAATCTATCTTTATCTAAACAACAAAAAATGCTTAATGCCTATTTTTATCCATTAAATTCAATTCATGGTTTAATTTTTTTTTCAAATCTAACTACACATTTTTGTAATTTATTTATCTAAAAATGGGTGTAGTCAATTTTTTTTGTTGATATTACTTCTATGTTTTAGAAAATTTTAAATTAGTCATTTTATCACTTTCTTTAAGAAAACATTTTAGAATATATAGTTTTTTGACATTTCGATTTTAATGAAGGTGATGACGCAGGGGCGGATCCAGAAACTCTAATTAATGGGGGCACTTATAAAGAGAAAATGAAAATTCAAATAATTTTAAATTAACTTCAAAATTTGAAGTTAACCATTATTAGCAAAATGAAAAAATAGTACGGAGTGGTATTACGGAGTACACTTTACATAACTGCTCTCTTCAAGTTTTCATTTTTTAAAAGGGGAAAATAAATAAAATACCCCAAATTTTGGAGTGTGAGATAAACACCCCAAATAAACTTTCATATGTAATTTAAATACTCCAAACTTTATATAAAAAGTTATTTTAGCACCATGGCACATATATTATTTTTACAAAAAAAGGAAATTTAAGGTGGTAATTGCATAATTTAAAATAGAAATATTAAAATGTTGCAGATATATAGATTGGAAGTAGTATTTTTTATTTTACAACGGAAGTTTAGAATGTTAATTGTATCTTCATGAATGCTAAAATATTTTAAATTATAAAATCATCACCGATAATTAAAATTGGTGAAAGAAGTAATACATAATCATGGTGCTAAAATAACTTTTTGTAAAAAGTTTGTGGTATTTAAATTTACATATGCCAGTTTGGGGTGCTTATCTCACACTCCCTCAAAGTTTGAGGTTTTTAATTATTTTTCCCTTTTTAAAATGGTCTTTCACAATTTCGTTAATAACAATTCCATTGCATATAGTAGTCTTTATAATGTTCGTTGAATAATAATATCTTTCAACTATTGCACAAAAAAAAATCTCTTAACTATGTCAACTGTAACAAACCGAATAAATGGAATGTGATTTTTATAACTGAGTCCCAAGAAAGGGTATAAAAAGCTGGATATCAATTTCCTCAAATACAGCCACTAAGCCCCTTGAGCCATTGAGCTTTCTCCACCATTAGTGGTATCATGAGATAATGTATTTTTATATTATATAGTATCTTAGTACCATTGTTAATTTAATCCATCTAAATTTATTATGACAATAAGTAAAGTGAACACATGGCTTTGACCATTAAAATAAGATGCTCAAAAATAAAAAAAAAATGGGTGAAATGGGTGAATTGATTAAATGCTAAAATGGGGTATAATGGGAATTTTAGATAAAATGGATTTTTTAAGTCTAAATTAGTCTTCAGGGCATGCTTGCATGGATTGCTTTGATTTGAGAAGTTGTTGGCTTTGCTTCGGTGTAAGACACGGCTAATGGAGAATTGCCATTTTTCTATTTGAGGCACCAGATATACAATTAATAAAGAATATAGAGTATTATTTTTGCATTGCCTACTTCAATTTCATTGGGGCAAGTGTCTCCATTCAATATAACTTACATTCGCCTATGCGATTGGCAGTGATAATAGGCTCCATATTGTGAATGAGATAAAAAAAATTAAAGTATTCCAATTGAAAATATTCTTAATTACAAAGGTAAACATAAATTTGAGATAACTTTAAGTCAAATCAATATTTAGCACATTTTAACATGGAGTCTGGTTATTTTAATTTTTCCAACTTTTATTTTATGATGTTTTACTCTTTTTCCCATTTTAGGAATAATTTGGAAGTTAATAGATTTTTTTAAACAATTTTATCGAATTAAATAATTTTTAAAGGGTTATTTTTTCCTAGTGATACGATTATGCCATCCTGACATTTTACCTTCTACATCATTATTGAGTACTAATAGTTTTCTTTCTATCTACTTACTTCAACCATCCATTTTATTAAGTATTTTTTTATTCCCTTTCCACTTTAGTTTCAAATTTTTCATTTCATTCCACATTCTTATACGTAATTGATATTAGAATCTTCACACCCTTATTTAAAGATATTGTGTTAACTTATGACGGTTCGTCATTGCACAGAAAATGAATATCTGTGTGGTGATTGTAGTCGACTCTTGATTTGATTTCATTTGTGGTGAGCATCGGTATATATATTATTGATCTGATTCAAATATTAAATTATGTTAGTAGTTCTACTTCTTGTTCCTGATTTTCAACAATAATATCAAATATTATTGTTGCAGATTTTCAATTATGTTCCTGATCGATAGAGTATATGGCCCACATACTCAGAGGTAAAAAACGCCAGCAGGACATCCACATGGTACGCTTCGGCCTAGTGGGATCTAAAACGGCCAGACCCGAATCAGCCCAGATTACCGCCTGGATACCAAGTGGGCCGCATCAGCCCACAGACCGCATCGGCCGAAGAGCACCTCATCGGTCAGGACTTATCCTGGCAGAATGTACTTTCCTACTCATTTACTAAGTATTGTATTCAACCCATTATCGGCCCTATTCCGCCCAAAGAAGGCATGATTATTGTAATGGGCCTCCTAAGCCTAAGGCCAAGAGCCCAAATCCACATTTTTACCTGTAAATAGACCCCTAGGAGCTAGTTATAGGGGGTTAAGAAATATTAATTGTTCACTTTCTCTCTCTAGCTCTCACTTCTCTCTAGAATTAAGTACTCTATTAGTTCCATATAAGACTTTTAGATTTTAGATTTTCATGTCAACAGTACGTAAATGAAAGAAATACTTTAGGTTATAATGTTATGGTTTTAACATACATCAAGTCATCAATTATATCTTCAAGAGAAGTAAGATCTATTAGGGTGCGACATTACCCAATCATTCATAATTCATTATTGTTTTTTTTTTAAATTATTGGAAAAAAGTATTAAAAATAAGATTTTAAAAACTATCGTACTTCTTTTACTATTGGAATAAATGTACCTTCTTTATTACCTATTAATGTTAAAAGGACTCTTAGCTCTGATCTTTCGGGCATTCCTTTTATTTGTACATGTATTGCTGGGTAAGGCCTAGTGGCTACCCCCCCCCCCCCCCACCACCACCACCACCACCACCACTTTGTTTCCTCTCGTTTTTAATAAAATTATGGTAAATGTTCCCCTGGAAAAAATGGAATACATGTACCCAAAATTAATTTATAATAGCTTTTTATTACACATAATATATCACATACACCACACATGTATTACAAAGAGTTACTCAAAATATTATTTCCAATTTTCAAAAGATAATAAAATAATACTTTTAAATAAATCTAAAAAATATTCGGATATGTTTAAGCTTAAAAGATTTCTCTCCAATTGATTTTTTTTATCACTCCTATTAGTATTATTAAATGAGGCTCTTAGAATGTGTAGAATGTTTCTTATGATTTGTTCTTATATAATATGGTGTTCTAAATTTTAGGGAGGACGCCTTTAAACATGTTTTTTTTATTTGGGATACAAATGTAAATACTCAATAAAAATTACGAAAGATTTTAAAACACAATTGTAAGTAATCAATACAAATTTTATGCTACATAAAATTTTAATTTAATGTAGCATAAAGATATTAAACCATTATTAAGTTTATTTACATTTGGATTACAAAATTTTCATAATTTATAATTTTATTTTTAAAATTTTAATTTAATGTAGCATAAAATGTGTAGGATATTATAGGAAGTTTAATTTTTGAATTACGTAGCATAACTCTATTGTAGCATTAGGACGTTTATTATTTATTATTATTACGGTATTGGAATTAAGTAGGATTCCAATGCAACATAATTAGACCTAAATTAACTAATGATCAATCCTAATGAAAGTTAAATACGTAGTACTAATTTGACGAAGTATAATTAATTAATACATTAAATTGGAAAGAGAATTATAATATATGTTTTCTTAGGTGATGACATGTGGCAAAACTTTCCATAATTGTATCTTTCAAATGTATTATCTATAGATAGATGTAGCATAAAGATATTAAACAATTATTAAGTTTATTTACATTTGGATTACAAAATTTTCATAATTTATAATTTTATTTTTAAAATTTTAATTTAATGTAGCATAAAATGTGTAGGATATTATAGGAAGTTTAATTTTTGAATTACGTAGCATCACTCTATTGTAGCATTAGGACGTTTATTATTTATTATTATTACGGTATTGGAATTAAGTGGGATTCCAATGCAACATAATTAGACCTAAATTAACTAATCATCAATCCTAATGAAAGTTAAATACATAGTACTAATTTGACGAAGTATAATTAATTAATACATTAAATTGGAAAGAGAATTATAATATATGTTTGCTTAGGCGATGACATGTGGCAAAACTTTCCATAATTGTATCTTTCAAATGTATTATCTATAGATAGATAATAAACTCATAAAAAAAATAATAAAGATCGTAAAAACGGGCACACCCACGACAGTATATTTGAATAAGTAAGGGGGAGTATAAAATATAACCCGATTTTTTGGAAGAAATCATTTATTTTTTACTTGCATTTACTGCCCAAATCCCCTAATTCGTTTTCTTCCAATTC